GGGCCCGGGCTGGGGATTCGAACCCTCCACCTTAGGTGTATGTGGCTGGCGCCTTAGCCGCTTGAGCCACAGGCGCCAAGCCACGTAATTTCTTTAATTGACCCCAAGTAACATGAGATGATTTCAGTGTCTGGAATCCAGAGTTTATTAGCTCCTGCAGAAATATAAGCATAGCCTCTTTCCCAATGTAATACAGTAGCTGGTATCCATACATTCTTAATTGCATCTTTATAATAAACTTAGGCGTACGCCACTTTATCTGGAGTGTTGAAGTAGGGTCTCCCTGAAGAAGCTGGCCATGCTGTCCTCACAAAGAACACCCTTCGTACCCTTCTCATCCTGCTAGCTGCACCAGAATTTGCCGTTAGGGTCTTACGGAAAAGTGATGTCACGAAGAATAAGCATGCTTATTGAAGTTGTGTTTTAAATAAAGGTGACCATCTGCTCACTCAGGCAAAATGGCCAGGAGGAGATAATTTCAAGGGCCACAGAGAAGTGAAAAAACTCAGAGCAGACAGTAAAAAAATCAGACTTTCATATCTGTGGCACCCATCCCTCCAGTCTGCCTAGCACCAAGCAGATGGAAAAATTACCCCAACTCATAGTTTCTACACTGGAAAAAATGAGATTGAGATGGACAGCTGGCTTCTCTGTTATCTTAGGTTCCTTACCAGGAGACCTGTCCCTCCCTAGACCCATAGAAAGTATAAGAGGTGCCTAAAAGTAGAAATATCCTTGAGAACAGCCATGGACAAAGGAGGGAGGTGGGACTTCTGTCCCTAGACCTAGATACTCTGCTTTGTAACTTAGCCAAAGGAGAAGCCAAATCAGAGTGGCTGTTCAGGAGAATCATGCTGTAGTAGGTTTATTCCACAGGTCACCTGGACTTGAACTCCAAGCCAGCCTTTGTACACTACTGGGATAGTCCCTTTGGGACCTATCGCATTTGGGATGGGCAGCCCTCCAATCATTTACTAAAGCTGAGGCAAACATGGGCTTACTTGTAAGGCACCATATAGTACAGGAAAGTAGTCAGTGACCTAGGGGAAAAAAAAAAAAAGGGGCCATGTGTGGCAGCTCACTCCTATAATCCTAGCACTCTGGAAGGCTGAGGTGGATGGATTGCCTGAGTGCACAGGTTTGAGACCAGCCTGAGCCAGAGCGAGACCCCATCTCTAAAAGTAGCCAGGTGTTGTGGTGGATGCCTGTAGTCCCAGTTACTTGGGAGGCTAAAGGAAGAGATTTGCTTGTGCCCAAGAGTTTGAGGTTGCTGTGAGCTATGACACTACAGCACTCTACCAAGGGTGACAAAGTGAGACTGTGTCTCAAAAAAAAAAAATTAAAAAATTATGAAGAATCTCTAAGCAAACATATGCAATAAAACCCAGAACAACGGCTTGGCGCCTGTGGCTCAAGTGGCTAAGGCACCAGCCACATACACCTAAGGTGGCGGGTTCAAATCCAGCCCGGACCC